GTGTAGTAGTAAGTAGTATTTTGATTTATAGTGACTTTTCTTCTATCTACTACATTAGACCAAGGTTGCAACATGGAAAGCTTTACAGCGTATTGTCGTTGAAAGTAAAGTGTATGGTTTATTAAGTTGGAGATTCTTTCTAATCTAGTACATTATGTACCAAGATTGCAACATGGAAAGCTTTACAGCGTATTGTCGTTGAAAGTGTATGGTTTATTAAGTTGGAGATTCTTTCTAATCTAGTACATTAGGTACCAAGATTGCAACATGGAAAGCTTTACAGCGTATTGTCGTTGAAAGTAAAGTATATGATTTATTAAGTTGGAGATTCTTTCTAATCTAGTACATTAGGTACCAAGATTGCAACATGGAAAGCTTTACAGCGTATTGTCGTTGAAAGTAAAGTATATGATTTATTAAGTTGGAGATTCTTTCTAATATATTAATACTTGCTATAGGGAGATCCAGGTGCTATTGGAGAGCCAGGACCTCTAGGTCTTCAAGGATTCAAGGTATGGTGTGAATATTTAGCACAAGGTTATTACATCATAAATAAAATTTTTATAAAAATAGCTGCGTCAAAAATAATAATGGAGTCGTTAAGATTCAATAAAATCGCCAAAATCTTTGTAAACACCTTTTCTATCTAGAAATTCAACCATCCCATAACGACTAATGATGAAATGAAAAGAAAAAAAAAGAAAAATATCAAAATATCTTTGAGGCACGCTGTATTATGGCTTACGACCTATACATAATGAAGTCAGTAGCCAGAAATACTTATATCAGTCAATATAAAATTTGGAAAACCAAAGCCAAATAGTATATTTATATATATGTATATATATATTCGATTTGTTCTGATAAAAGTAGACTAATAATGCCTGTTTATGCGACTCATGACGATTTTAGATTTATTATTGTTATAATCGGAAATATTTGGTATAAGATAACTTATTATGATTGTTCGAAATGATCTCAGAACCTTCATACATATTATTATATAGAGAAGTTAAAACTTAGACAGAAGGTTGTAGTTATTCATGTAATATGCACCAAAAACATATACAAGTTGAAAGTAGCCTGTCAGGATTGCTAACAATGACTACTCGACACATGTACATCACACTACACTTCCCCACCACACACACACACACATCCAAACGTTCATGTTAGGTCATTAGAATGTGTAATACGCATTAAATATTAGTTCAATCTGGCTACTACACTGATCATAAGACTATATGACATTCATTAAATTACATCCTCGTTCAAGTTGTTCTACTAAAATGTTCACATTAATCTTGTAACATACAACCAATAAAACACAGGTTCAGTTAGAGCCATGAAAGAGTTAACAATTGCCACGTGACATATATATAACTAATGACTTGTACACTTTTTAACTTATCGTGTAAAGCTTATTTCTTTCTTAAGCCCATATAATAATGGTCTATATTCATATCTTTACATTTAGGGAGACCCGGGAGAAAAGGGTTCCTTTGGGCCTTCCGGACCACCAGGACCTCCTGTAAGTTGTAAATGTTTCTGTTACAGTATTAAGAAAACAACTAAGATGAAGCTTTTTATACAGTGATTAACATGAGTTAGAATGTATGTATATATATATATGTAATATGTATTAATGTAACATTACTGGTATATTATATACTCGTTTTGCTCTGTTAAACTCGAAGAGATGAGCACTAGTTTTTTTTTAAATGTTAGTTGTTTGTTAACTACAAAGCTACACAATGGGCTATTTGTGCTCTACGCGCCATGGATATCGAAACCCAATTGTAATGCATGTTCTCCAGTCTCATAATCTTAAAGTATTTGATAATGACTCCCACTCGACAAGATTCATCGTCATGAAGATTGTAACCAATTTCAGAGTTCTTTGTAGCATCACAATTTTCATATTGAAATGGTAGATATATTTATATAATTTTGGTGTTTTTCTATGTGAGGGTCCACCAGGAAAAGACGGAGTAGCAGTGGTTGGCACAGAGGACACCCTGTTGATTCCAGTAAGTAATTTTCGTTAACGCATTATATTAGGAAAATAATAGCAGATCTATACAATTAAAATGATCCTATCACAAGAGTTAGTTGCATCTGAAATCAAATATAAACAGATCTATACAATTAAAATGATTCTACCACAAGAGTTAGTTGCATCTGAAACCAAATATAAGCAGATCTATACAGTTAAAATGATTCTACCACAAGAATTAGTTGCATCTGAAAGCAAATATAAGCAGATCTGTACAATTAAAATGATTCTACCACAAGAGCTAGTTGCATCTGAAACCAAATATAAGCAGATCTATACAGTTAAAATGATTCTACCACAAGAATTAGTTGCATCTGAAACCAAATATAAGCAGATCTATACAATTAAAATGATTCTACCACAAGAGCTAGTTGCATCTGAAACCAAATATAAGCAGATCTATACAGTTAAAATTATTCTACCACAAGAATTAGTTGCATCTGAAACCAAATATAAGCAGATCTATACAATTAAAATGATTCTACCACAAGAGCTAGTTGCATCTGAAGACAATTTTATAAAAGAAGTCACAAAGAAAACTTTTTATTATTTTATCAAAAAAGAATTGAATAGAAGACTCTTAGGAACTGTTAATTTTGAATAAAAGTCACCAGAATTTTGTGTAGAAGCGTTTCATTAGATGTTATGTTCAATAAAATTTCAAGAAGCATTTCGGTTTCTTTTCTTTTTTTTTTTTGAGAAAAATGTTACCTGGAAGAGACACAGAAATCAGAAAGTATTTCTTTGCTCATACGCTTTCATGTTGAAGAAAAAACACTAAAAAGATTTGAAGAACTCTCGTATTTAAAATGCTTTCTCAGGACATTACAATAAGAGATATTACTTTAGATTTTCAAAGTGTTAATTGTTCTATTCCCTGAACATATACCGTCGTTAAAATTTACCCTAATATGTTATTTAATAATAAAACATTCTGTTTTCTTGTGTTAAACGCAATATTTCGAGATTTTTTTATCTTGTGTAATGTGATGAATATCGGATGAAGTTCACGTCAGTTAGTTAGTTAGTTTGTTTGTTTATTGTGAAGCACAAAGCTGCACAATGGGCTATCCGTGCTTTTCCCACTAAATATATCGAAATCCGGACTTTAGCGTTATAAGCCTTCAGACTTATCGCTGAACCACTGGGTGAGGTGCGGGTAGGGGTGCAAGTTGACACTATACGTCACATTTATTGATCACTCTGAAGGCTATAACACCTCACAGATTCTGCAAACTTGCGGGGTTTAATGACAACTGATTATATGAATATCAACTATGTTGTGACACTTTGGAACAGTTTCACTAATTCGATATCCAACAAGTAATAAATATCCCGACTTACCTTTTCATTGCCTGAAAGTTTTTGTTTTAATGTTGAAGGTGTTTCTATTGCTTTAACTAATAAATATTGCTTCTCTGTCTGATAACAATATGTGCTAAACACGATTCGACAATATAAGGATTTAATTAAAAGTTTGTTTAACGCTTTTTTTTCTAAGATTTTAGTAGATTTATAATATCGAACGAGTAAAACAACAATAGGCAAGATTTGGATCGTTTCTCAGGGTGACTTAAAAGTTTGGCCCCAGATAGTTTTTCATTCAGTGCTCTTAGCCAGAATATCAATAGACATATCTCTGTTGGAAATGCTATTTGTTTCCAGACTGATAAAAAATTTTCAGGCAAAATATCAGGAGTGTTTCGGTTGACGCACTTGTAACTGAAAAGGTCACTTGTACTTAAGTTTCAATATTGTTTATAAACTTCATTTCAATGCCTAACAGTCTTACTATTAAGTAATCGATACACTTTTAGATCCATATTTAGCTATTAGAGAGCTATCTGCGCTAGACGTTCTTAATTTATAAGTGCTAAACTAAAGGGAAGGCAGCTAGTCAACACCACCCACAGCCAACTCAGGAGGTACTATAATCGAATAATAGGATTGATCATCACATTATAACACTCCACGGCTAAAGGTCGAGCATATTCATTGATGGGATTCAGATCCACACTCCATAGATTGCAAGTGCCTTAATTACCATGCCATGCCAAGTTATATAAATATTTCTGTTTTACTTTTAGAAAAATGGTACTTCTCAATATTTATTTTAATGCCATTTTATATAAAAAAAAAATAGTTTTCAAAATATTTTCAGGGACCTCCGGGTCCAAAAGGAGATCCTGGTGAACCAGGCCTACCAGGCCTTCAAGTAAGTTAAGATAATTGTTTTTTGTTTTTTTGTATTTTGATTGAAATATAGTATTTTAAATAATTGATTATAAGCTTTTATATTTCAGCGCGTTAGGCTTTTAGTATTAAACCTAAAAATTACTTAAATACATAACAAAAACGCTTTACGTACCAATAACATCACTTATAACTTGCTCTTGTAATTAATTTAATTTAATTAATACTAATTGATATTTTATTTTACCTTATGTTTCCGTTTTCACTTATGTCTTTATAAAGTTGGATAGTCTTGATTATAATTAATTGAATAAAGAAGATAAATTACACTGTATAAATAATAACTTCCTACTAGTTTCACGTGTTATTTCGTGGGCATAGTTTGACGAGATAAGATACCAATATAATGAAATGTTAATACTGCTTTAATAGGATAAGTTTCCGAAATATCTTGAAACTTTTGATTAGATAAAACGATGATAAACTGTCATGTTGTTTTCACCTTTTCCCTCAAATTCAACCCTTTAAGTTTCGAAGTCTTTTTAAAAGCTTGTGATGGAAAAAAACAATGAAAACAGTGAAAATCTTGTTATAGGTTGTGAACTTGTTTTCACTTTTTTTCTCATTTTTGACTCCCTAAGTTTCGAAAGCTGGAAACAATTCAGGATCCAAGATACATACAAGATATTTTACGAAGAAGCCATTCTGAAAATTATCAAATGGTCAGCTCTCTCTTAGGACAACCTTAAAGGGATCATTTTGAGAATTTCTTTATAATTTTTTTTTAACTCCCGAAAATTCAAACTCTAAGAAGGCATGGAGAAACTGTCGCGTTGTTGTTCTCTAATTCTTTCGTGGTAGCATTGGTCAATACAAGTACTTCAAGGTCAAAGATAAGGGCGTTTATAAGCAGCTTCTAAAGGTCACAGTATAGTGCAAGTCGTAATGAAAAAGTATAATGCCTTTCAAGTTTAAAAGATTGGCACGAGATTTATGCATGTGCTGTAAGGGATTTAATGTAAAAAAGGCTGAATAGGTTGAGTAATATGTTTGATCAATTAACCATTTTAATGATAATAAGAACTGAACGATGTCTAAGATTACCACAAGTCTTGTAAATATTCACAAAACTTGATAATATACAGGTTTAACTCTTTTTAAAGTACCACAAAACACATGCAATGTCTAGGCCTAACATGAACTGTGCAAAGTATTACATGAGTCGCATAGGTTTATCAGTAATCGTTTTATGGATAACGCAAGAGCTAAATAACGCCCAGGTTTACCACAGCCCCTGTAAAAGCTAAAAAAAAAGAGATGAATAATTAATAGATATAACAATGGTCATTTTAATGGGCACAAAAAAGCAGAATAATGAGGGATATTACATGGGTTTAATATCGTATAGGTTTACCAATATCCGTATGAAGAATCACAAGAGCTGAATGTTCCATACATTGAGCACATACCCGTTTAAATTGTATGTTTGTTTTTAATTATGCACAAAGCTACACAAGGGCTATCTGTGCTCTGCCCACCACGGGTATCGAAACCCAGTTTCTAGCGTTGTAAGTCCGCAGACATACCGCTGAGCCGTTTAAATAATCACAAGTTGTTGTTTTTTGTCCAATCATTAAAGTCTTAAGAACGACTTCCACTAAACTTATTCTTCCATAAGTTTAAGTAAACCAATAACAATTCATTTACTTTAAGCGCCTGTTTTAAGTATCGAAAATGTGTTCTTTTGAAACCGAAATATTTATCACCTTCTGAAGAAGTTAGTATGAAACTTGATTTACAAAAACTAAAACATACTTATTATCTTTACGGTTTCAATGCTAAGATATATTTTGAAATTCTGGAGTTTTGTTCCCAAATATTTTAATTCTCTGCTTCTGTTTCTAAAGGGAGAAAAGGGAAGTCCGGGAGAAATAGGATTTCCAGGACAAAACGGTGAAAAGGTTTGTTTGCTATCATTCCGTCTTACACTCTCTGTTTGTTAGGTTTAATTTTATACGGTTCTTAAGAACTTATTTAAAAACAATGAATATATATTATTTATTTTATATTCTAGGTAAAGTACCATACTTCCTCTTACGAATATAACACTATGTGATATGATATCAGTAAGAATTCTTAAATTTGTATTGTATTATTTTTCAGACCTTCTAATATGTTGTTTTCCCTTTATAACTACGGTGTTTTTGTACCTATCTCTACCTGAATTGTTTTTATCAATAATTCCTTATCTGAGTTCAAACTTCAACAAGGTACTATTAACCCTGAATGAGATATTTGTTTTTAGTATTACGATGTTAAACCGTTATCACTAATTTAGAGGATGTGTTTCGGAATATTCTAGGCCCAGCTCTTTATGATTAAAACAATTAGGATACACGCATTGTTTTCCTGCTATGAGACGCCACCACCACACCAGTACTTGAACAGATTTGACACTTTCTCTTCGTCGCGATATTCTAGCTCGATTCTTTAGGTGTTTAAGTTTTTTGAAGCCCCAAAATGACCAAGTACAATACCTGAAAGCATTAGGAACTAAAAGAAGAACACTTGAAATGTGCAGTCTGGTAAAGCTGATGTAGTGCTAATTGGGGGACAACATTTAGGAAACAATAAACAATGATTCTTATATGAATGTTTTATAGACAGCGATATCGAATTTCAGATTTGAGGTAACTTAAACTGTATACAAACACAGAATAATTTCCTTACCATTTTTCCCTTATCTCCTTTGGCACCTTTATCTCCTTTGTCTCCTTCGCTTCCCTACACAATTGGAAATGCGAAAAATTTAGAGCTAGATCATCTAACTATTATAAACATAATAGAAAACAAAATTATTTATGCCAGATTATTCAGTTTTTGAATAACTTATTCGCTACCAGAAGAATGAACAAAGCTAATTTCGCAACGAACTTAAATATACATGCATAGACAAAATAAATAACTTCAGTTTTGAGAGAAACAAGATTCTACTATTTGTATCTGCTAATTTGTTATGTATAAATTATCAAATATTTTATATATATACTATGAAGTTATATTTGTTTTAAATTTACAAATTTTTCATATTTTGAAATACCTCATTTTCTACATTTCTATTTCGTTCACTAATTCATCATGAACAATAAAGAATTCTGTGTTCATTGTAAATTATTTTATTTATCTTATAAGCTTTGGCTTTTGAAGGAACACCAATGGTTTACTGTATCTCACATGTATATTTTTCATTTTTTCTATTGTTTATGTTTTACAAAAAAAGGTAATACCAAAAATAAGTAACAACCTGACTAATTTCAAACCATATCAAATATTCAAATACTGCGATTAAAGAAAGTACTGGTATTATGGACAGTAAAAATTATGTTGATCATTCATACCAATACAAACTATTAATTAATGTCTGGACATTTTTCCAAATTTTGGGAAAAGTATGAGCTATATGTACAAACGAATTAGGCTAGAGTTAATTAATGTTAGATTGAATTATTGAGTTAGTGAATCTATTAGTCAGTTAACGGTTAATCAGGGACTGATTTAACCTGTTTGTCCGTTACTGGGAGTAGGATTGTTAAAAGTTGTGACCATTGAATCTGCATGTTGAAGAAGCAACAGTTGTGAAGCTAGGCCTGTAGATAAACACTGGTTAAACTGATTGTGGAATTTGAAGAAATAAACATTTTTGTCATCGTTAGATATACTGGACTTTCCCTTATTCGTTTTCCAAAATAATTCTAAAGAGTTTATCCCATCAATAGAAACCATAGTGTCAATCAATATGGCTAGATTTTGTTATCTGGAATTTTAACACTTGGTCTGATGAAATTTAAAATTAATATGTTAATTTTCATACACACAAACCCATATATATATGTGTGTGTGTGTCCGAAAACTTTATTCTTATAACATAAAAGAAAAGATGCTGAACAATTCAAGATTCGAACCTAAACCATTAACAGTCTATTGCGTTACGTATAACGCTCAGTCCTTCTGATTTGTACTATCTTTGCAATCCTCCTGGCAAGATAATACTGAAAATTAACATTCTAACTCTGCGTAAAGTCAAACCCAAAAGTGTCTTAATCGGCGATTCTGGAAGTAGTCTGCCATAAACTTACCTGAATAAGTTTTTATTCACTATAGGGACGCAGAGGTAAACGTGGTCAACCAGGGAAGCCAGGACTTCAAGGAGAAGCGGTAGGATTCTTCACACTGTTATATATATAAGGATAAATAATTGACGGAGTAATTTCAGAGCATTAATTTACGAAACTTAGATTGTATTCATATCAAACAAATATAATTTTACTTATTTTCGTGCAAATTTCTTGAACATTTACAGCCAATTCGTAATAATAATGAAATGAAAGAATATTTTTTACATGTAAACATTAGTTTACATTTACAAGTTCATTGTCTAAAACACGTTCATGTATGGTTTTTGAAGGAAATGTTTGCTATAACAATGTCATTATAATCATACTAAACCGCATATGTTTTTCCCCATACATTCAGCCCATTATTGATTTCGAATCAGAGGTGAGTAAAAGCAACCTTTCAGATCTGCCTTTTGTTTGTCACAAGTTATTGCTCATGAAGGATTTTGTTCAATGCCAAACATTGTCAGAAATGCAAGGGGGGTAAAAACAGCAGATTCTGATAATTATTGTTAGGCCTAAAAGAACCACATTTTCTGTCAGCTGTAAAATGCTCATGAAGGATTTTGTTCAATGCCAAACATTGTCAGAAATGCAACGGGGATAAAAACAGCAGATTCTGATAATTATTGTTAGGCCTAAAAAAACCACATTTTCTGTTAGCTGTAAAATACATATCTGAAGCATGTTGTACGTGCGCTTTAGTTAACTACAACATAAGGATAATCAGGATGAGCGATTGAAACTAAAATATTTTATTTATGTTAAAGTTTTAGAATTCTATAGGCCTAACAAAAGTGATGGGAATCAATTGTGACACCATCAATATTCTAAAGTTACAGTTTTGATAGGCCAATAATAGGCGAATTAATGGGTACCAATAGGTTTAATATTCATGATAAAAATCACACTCTACTTTTTTTTTTCATGTTTCTTAATCAAACACACCTTCGGTGTGAAAAAAGGTGCGGACAAAAAGGATGGAGTGTGCGATTTAAAGAAATGAAATCAAAACTGACACCCAAACTTATAGCTATACTTATAGCATTGATATGAATTTTACAGCAAATATTCATTCATTAATTATCCAGGCCGCGTTTTTTGTTCAACGTGGGGTATGATGGTGAGTAAAACAACATACGCAGCCTAACTAACTCAATCCTTTTTTGACCGCACCTTTTTTCACATCTAAGGTGTTTTTGATTACATATCATGACTTTTTGTCAATACATACCAACAAACCAAAGCAAGTAAGAAAGTGACACTCGAAAGTAACAAACATTAGCTTTAGGATCGCAACCTTATTATTCGGAATAGACCTTTACTTCACAGAACCAATCAGATTTTTTAAAATATATGATGGTAGTTTCCTCTTTAAAACAGTGTTAATAGCTTCCTTTATAATAGCGTTTCCCGGTGGGACAGCGGTAAGTCTTCGGATTTACAATGCTAAAATCAGGGGTTTGATTCCCCTCGGTGGACACAGCAAACAGCCCGATGTGTCTTTGCTATAAGAAAACACACGCACCTTTATATTAGCGCCATGGAATTTAGATAAACAGTTTCTTGTCATCAGTCCCATGCAATCGGTACAGCCGTATCAAGCATCATTATTTATGCTAATTGTTTAAGCTAATGTCACGTGACGCTAAACGCTCTTTAGTTAGGATAATTTCGTGAAATTTAATTAATTTGTGCTGAAAAGTTGGCAATGAATAATCAATAATAACCGTTCACCCATATGAGTTTTTGAAAACTTGAGCGAGAAACTGCTAACCTAGTTTGCTTGGCCTAACAAATACTCGTGTATCTGCACGTACTTTCACCTTATAGTTTTGCTGCTCTAAGTCAGCCGTCTTTAATCCGAGTGACAAAAACTAAAAACGGTCTACTTTTACTCTTAGGTGAAGTTGTAGTAAAAATGTTAGACCGATAACTCACGTGACTTTTTGCGTAGACGTTCGTAAAAAATTTCGTCAAATTTGAGCGGTTTTTGTTGAATAACTTTACACATGGAGCTTATATTTACACAAAATGAGACTCCTAATTGTAGGTTGTAAAACTCTATCAGTGTACCAAATTTGAAAAAAATCAATCAAAGTTAAGTGTGTTCTTCTATCAAATAAAGTTTCCGTACTTTTGGTGCGAAGAAGAAGAAAAAACAGGAAGAAACTCAATTAAAATTGGAGATATTTTATCTCAGGTATTTGTTAATGGGTTGCCTTGACATTTGGTATGTGAAGTCAATGTCCAGTAGAGCACATCCACTGAAAATATATGGTAGTTTGGATTACCACAGTCCGAGATACAGAAGGTTTAAAATCGCTAAACTATCACACCTGTTAATAACACAATGTGTCCTGCAGCAGGTTGTTTGAAGGTTTAAAATCGCTAAACTACCACTCCTGTTAATAACACAATGTGTCCTGCAGCAGGTTGTTTGAAGGTTTAAAATCGCTAAACTACCACTCCTGTTAATAACACAATGTGTCCTGCAGCAGGTTGTTTGAAGGTTTAAAATCGCTAAACTATCACTCCTGTTAATAACACAATGTGTCCTGCAGCAGGTTGTTTTGGTCGCACGATACACTACCGCGTGTCTTGATGAATAATGTATTTCAAATCATTAGTTTGTTTGATTGTTTTCAATTTCGCGCAAAGCTACACGATAGATATCTGCGCTCGCCGTCCCTAATTTAGCAGTGAAAGACTAGAGGGAAGGCAGCTAGTCATCACCACCCACCGCCAACTCTTGGGCTACTCTTTTACCAACGAATAGTGGGATTGACCATCACATTATAACGCCCCTACGGCTGGAAGGGCGGGCAGGTTTGGTGGGACAGGGATTTGAACCCGCGACCCTCATGAGTCGAGCGCCCTAACCACCTGGCCATGCCGGGCCAAATCATTAGAGAGGAATGTGAAAGGAATCTGCAGTGATTTTTATCTTGAACATTAGTATCAGCATTCTGTTTTACACAGAAGACTGGAAACGTGGTCTGAATGTAAAATTAGGAAATCCAAACTTTTATTCTGTAAGAGCTGTTAAAATAACTATATCTCATGGGAATCTGGATTTTCATCCTGAACAGCGCCTCATGCTAAAATACCAGGTCAAATACCCTTAAAGTTAAGAAACAGCTATCCATATTTTAAAGAGAAGACAACCAGTTAGCAAGATCCGTTGTCTTCACAGATTATCTAGACTGATAGTGGGACTGATTTCACTCTTATCACGCTTTCACAATCAGCGTGTGCAACCGCAGATCACGAATCAAACGTCAAACCTTGGGCCTTCTAATCTGCACCCTAACCACCAGGCCACGCCCGGCCCTACATATGTTAATTAATAATGCTTTTTCCTTTTCATTATTTGAACAAAATCAATGTTTTCTTTAAATGGAGAGTTTTGTGGGCTAAGACCACTTGTACCTTAATTCATAATTCCTTATCTTTACTTATAATCAGATTATGCAAATTCTTAAAGCCACTGAGAAAACGCTAGTTATTACAAATAATAAAAATAATTAATAGTGATATTAAAACCGTACTGACTGAATTTATTCAAAATAGGTGAATATAGAAGGACTGTCAAGTTTTTAAATATATTTCGCGTAAAACTAATTTACTTAACCAAGTTAGCTAAATGTTTTAGTTAAATGTACTATCTTGTTGTTTGTTTGTTTCAGATTTGTTTTATTACATTTCTATGCCCTTTTGATTGTTTGTTTTTAATTAAGCACAAAGCTACACAATGGGCTATCTGTGCTCTGACCACTACGGGTATCGAAACCCGGATTCTAGCATTGTAAGTCCGCAGACATACCACTGTACCACTGGGGGGGGGGGGCGCCCTTTTGATATTTCTAATTTAAATAAAATTTGTTTTTAGCACTTCGTATTGTTATTGCTTCGAAAAAGTCACTGAACTACTGCCAATTTTAGATCACTATTTTATCGTGTATCTGATAAAATTGTCAAAATAAACATTTGAAAATGATTAGTGATGTTTCTTTCTGATTAAACAAAACAGTATTTAGAATAATGTACACACAAAGGAACGGTATAGATATATAGATACACGTCCTAGTTCACTGAATACATCACCATGTATGCGTGTATTAACGTATACCACCTTCTATTTAACATAATATTATTATTTATATTTTATTGCATGTTAGTATAGTGACTTACTTGTTTTATGAAAGTGTTATCTGTCGTGATTTAACTTCCTTCTTTCAATATCAGGGGCCTCCAGGCGCACCAGGACCTATTGGACAGGAGGGTCCTCAAGGGAAACCGGTAAGTTTATGCTCATGTTAAAATAAAATAACAGCATTTGAAGAGTACATAATATCACTCTCGGTACAACAAACAAGATTGCTTGCTTCCCCACAAGGTCCAGGATAATCCAACATGATGCGGATAAATTAATAAATTCACGTTAACTCTTAATATGCCCATTATGAAAAAAACCGCAAAACATCTACAGTTTACATGAGTTGTACCACAGATTTTATGCCTTTTATCAGCTTTCAGCGTTCATAAACAATAACTTTTAAAGTACTATACTGCAAATATGAATAGCATTTCAAAGAATGTTTCGTCTTTAATTGTTCAGCCCAACGGATGAGGTCTGGTATTAAAAAAAAAGGTCTCTAGGGCAGTAACGTGTGAGAGACAAAAGATAGGTCTAAACTATTTACTTGTTCCTCTGCCAGTTTCAGTATAATTCAGTGTATTATGGATAATTCATTAAATTATTTGTTCTTTTATCAGTTGAGTATACTTCAACTAACATTGGAGAAGTTAATAATTCAGTGTATTATGGATAATTCACTAAATGATTTGTTCTTTTATCAGTTGAGTATACTTCAACTAACATTGGAGAAGTTAATAATTCAGTGTATTGTGGATAATTCACTAAATTATTTGTTCTTTTATCAGTTGAGTGTACTTCAACTAACATTGGAGAAGTTAATAATTCAGTGTATTGTGGATAATTCACTAAATTATTTGTTCTTTTATCAGTTGAGTATACTTCAACTAACATTGGAGAAGTTAATAATTCAGTGTATTATGGATAATGCACTAAATTATTTGTTCTTTTATCAGTTGAGTATACTTCAACTAACATTGGATAAGTTAATAATTCAGTGTATTATGGATAATTCACTAAATTATTTATTCTTTTATCAGTTGAGTATACTTCAACTAACATTGGATAAGTTAATAAATCTTGCATGTCAAAGATGAGGGAAAACTTTTCTGCTTAACTTGAAAGTAATTTTACCTAATATGACATGAGTCTACCCCCTGAAAAGTGACTTAGTGGTGTCTGTAAGGGGGACAAATCCTACCTTAACTTTATAAAGTGTAAAGGACTTCAGAAGCTACAAGTTCACGCGAACTTATTACAAGTATCCTTTCATTTTTTCGCTGCAATTCTATTGTTTTATTCATGTTTCATCGGTACGCGTAACAACATACTGAACCAGTTCTTCTCTTGTGGACTTCTTTTCAGATACTTGTTTAAATTCAAACAGAAAACGCAACATTTCTCATACACTCTTGATGTTTGCTTTAGTCTGACAGATAATCTAATACTTGACATTTCTTGTTAATCTCTATTAACCCCACCCCCGTTCTTTTAAAACAATAACCTCTACTGCTTTTTTTCATTGTAAATACACTTTGGTATGACTTGGTAAATAATATCGAGGATTTCCAATGTTTCTGCTATTGTTACAATCTATCCTTGTTTTCTTATCTTTGCTGTATTAAGCAAAGTGTTTCAAGAGAACCCGCATGTCCTTCAATGAAATAAGGTTTTATCTTGGAGCCTATGAACTACATTGTATTACACACGATTTGATCGTTCTTTGTAAGTACTTTCTTTATATGAATTAACAAATTGACGATAATATATCTTTGAAATTTAGTGACTGTATACCCACATAACACAAGATTAAGATTTGTTTGTTTATTTACTAAGAACAAAACTAATCACTAGGCTATTTGTGCCGTGCCTACCACGGGTATCGATACCTAATTTTTAGTGTCATAAGTCCAGAGACTTTCTGTTGAGCCACTGGGTGGCTTGAGATTTATGACGACATCAGTTATTCCTGAAACATCTGGCATCGCTTTAACTGATTAACTTTGTTAATGGAATTTAAATATTTTCGAAGTAACTGGGAAATTAGAATAAGCTTCCAATACAGATCGAAAAACACTCAAAAGTCAATAAGACCGGACGTTTAAACTGAAGGATTAAATAACAGCGAACTAGTAGGAAACGCATGCAAAAATCCGATAACTGTTTAAACTACTTCTAGACTGGAATTTATTGACAAGTGGGTGGCTGTCTATAGTCCCTCGGTGGGATAGCGGTACGTTTACTGATTTAAAACGCTAAAAGCCGGTGTTCGATTCCCCGCGGTGGACAAACAAACAAAACAATGGTCTTCTATAATATAAAGGAACAACAATAACGTAAATTTATCTTGAATAGAATAATTGTTTTTGTTCTGAATTTTACAAGTTCTTGTCAATAAAATCGCATTTACATAGAAACATTCTTATTTTGCAAAGAACGGAATAATAATTATTCATAAAGACAAACCGGATCTACTTTAACTCGTAGGTAGTCCCTCTGTGCTAAAAAAGGTAATACATTTATTCCCAAGATCTGAAAGATTTCGGTCGTAGACAACTCCACACCTAATTTTCTACACAAAAGCTACTCATCATATAAGACTATCCTACTAGAATAACCTTCATTTGATGTCTAAAACGAAACAGAATTGATATGGTTTTACCACCCGAGATGAAACCAGTCAGGTATGGTTTGTTTTGAATTTCGTGCAAAGCTACTCGAGAGCTATCTAATTTAGCAGTGAAAGGCTAGAGGAAAGGTAACCAGTCATCACCCCTAAATCTTGGGCTACTATTTTATCAATGAATAATGGGATTGACTGTCACATTATAACGCCCCCATGGCTGAAAGGGCGAGCATGTTTGGTGGGACGAGGATTCGAGCTTGCGACCCGCAGATTGCGAAATTTTAAATTCAACGCGAAATTTTGAATAAAAATAAAATGCACATCATGAGACATTTAATTTCTTTTTCTCTTCAGAACAGGACGATCATTATTCAAAATGCACTTTCTTCTTAAGCCTAATGTCTATTTTTGTAGTAATACTAATTAATGTTTTTTAAACATACAAAACAATTTAACGAGATTTTAGCGCGTGTAACCTTAAATAGATTTAGCAAATCAAAAGTGACTAGAATATTACCTTTTTTAAACATTAATAATTGACATACGTTGCCCATAGAAGGTTTAACTGGAATTCCGTTTTTCATTTGAAACATTTTTAACACAATATTTACATTTTTAATTGCTTGTTTGGACATATAGTATCTATACAATCATAAAATAGGGAGATAAGGTCCGTTCAAACTCTATCAAGCTGAATTAATACATAATTTTTCGTTCAGGAATCAAATGAATCATATTTTTTTTGGTTACCTGATGGAGACAAATGCAGTGAGATTTCAATAGGAATATACCTTTAAAGTAGAACATATAAACACAAAAAACAAAAGTTATTTCGCAACATTTCTGTTAATCGCCACCTGGTGAGTATATTCGAAACAATATAAGTTATTCAGTTGATTATATACAAATAATTTTAATATTGTTGCAGATATGAATACTTCCAGTTATTTTTTTGTTTATGAGATACATTTAACTACAAAAACATAGCTCTGGCTAAGTACGTATTACAATATCGTGACAGGGTATACCAGGAAATGACGGAATTACTGGATCGCAGGGAGAAAAGGGAGAAAAGGTAAGGTGTAAAGATGTTGTACAGACGAATGAAGTAATTTACGAATATTTGATTACGTTTAAACTATACGACTATGATTACTGAAACTAGTTTACAATTTCTTCACTAAAGTCTTCCCTTATTAAATATTCTAACTAGAAATCTTAGGCGATGCGTTTAAACAGACTCTAATAAACAAGTAATGCCAGTAGACAGATTCTTAGTTTTACAAGTCTTAGCAGAGCTCAAATGTCTTGAAAAGTTTTATCTCTATAATTGATTAAGTAAAATTTTAACTTTCTTTTTCTTACTTACTCTGTTATGTTTATTGCTGGTTGATGTAAACTTGAAAGTTAATATTTCAGTTTGGAAAATGTTTTCACATTTATTGAACAATAAATGGTACATCACATAATTAATCTAAAATATTTTAAAAGTATCATTGACTTTATATTGTTATATCTATACATTTCTATAAGAATTTGAATTTCACAAATATATAAACTTAACTCACAGTTAAAGCACAAACTGTCCATGTAATGACGCTTTATTGAATATAATGGTGAATTTATTTGACTTCTGTAAAGTTAAACTTCATCAGCTATAAAATGTATCCATTGGTGACTCGTCTGGTTAACGACCCTGTTTATTTGGCGTCGGTTGGTGACAAAAAAGAACTTTAACTGTATCCATATATATATATATTCGTCACTTCTGTTTTAGTCACTCATGGACTAAAGTAATCAATATGACCAGTGTTCGTTTACACAGTAAACCGTTCGATTATCTTAAATCAGTCTGAAAACTAGTGTTTTTGTTTAATTATTTAACGTTTTCCCCCATCAAGGGTAACAGAGGTGAACCAGGGAAACCCGGGACGATTATTACAACAAATGAAAATGTAAGTAGAAGATAAGATTTAAAGGTTTTCGCAACCCATACATACATATATTAAATTTCTATCGCTACTGTTTGACTTTTCTGACAAACCTTAGTGTGAATCGAGCCAACTTTGTTTCTATTTTTGATGTATCACTTTTGATAGCTTTGATATATTTGATCATCATTATTGTACATTGTTATTCAATAAACTATTTTTTTTCTCATTTAGATTCTTTAAATATCAAAATTATTGAATAATAATTAAATACGCTTAAGGTGTTGCACAGGCTGTTAATCCCACATTTTAAAACTACTTTCAGGGAAGTGCTGTTCGCTCAGGGCCACCAGGGGAGCCGGGTGAACCAGGCATTCCTGGATCTCAGGTAGGTTATGTAATAAAAAATTCAATATATTAACTGTTAAACCTTCCCTAATTTCTACTACATGTCACTGCTAATAATGAATTTTGCTAAAAAAAATCATATTATACATGACAGCCAACAGCTAAACTTTTTCAAGCATTCTTGGGACATGCCATGTATGACATCCAATGCTAAACTTTTCTAAATAATTCTAGGACATACCATACATGACAGTCAATAATGAAATTTTCAAAACATTCTTAGGACATACTATATACGACTATGAATAAGGAAATTTTCCAAACTTTATTACGACATACCATAACCGACCGTCAATAAATAATTATTTGTTTTGATCAATTTCCCGCAAAGCTGCACAATATTACCTGCGCTAGCAGTCAGTCGTTAATTTTAAAAAGCAGACGAAAGGGAAAGCACCACCAACTTTTGAAATAGTGGAATTTGACCGTCACAATTATAACACACCCACGGCTCCAAAGTGTGAAGCGCGTTTTGTGTTTTCGGTAACAGAACGTGAACCGTGGAACTTCAGATCCACTCTACGATACGCTACATATTGGGCCGTAAGCTGCCTTTTAGTAATATTTTTTTCAAAACAAACATTTACGTGAAAATGTCTTACGGTGAGTTAGTTGACTTAACGTTATAATCCGGGTTTCGATTCCCTGCAGTAGATAGAGCGCAGAAAAATAATTATGTAGATTTACGCTAAAACAACAACAACAACAATTTGAAAATAAAATACTGATTAATACGATATTAAAAAATGTGTTTACCGTTGAGATTAAGGACCGCTAATATATCACGATTCACTGACCATTTTTACGAAATTTATGGGAAAACGGTACCAAAATTTCGCGTGCTTTAGTGTACCGTGCAGCACAATAGTCACTGTGTTATTCGATTATTTAGTGTCAATGTTCTCCTTGGATGACGTACGAACAATACTGTCGCAAACAGACACACTATTTAAATGGTTCATTATCAAAAAGGAAACCTAAATAAACAATAATAAGGTTTAGTAAGTTGTTTGTTTAAGAGCAAAACCACATTGGGCTATATGCTGTGTCTACAGCGGAAATCGAACCCCAGATCTTAGCGTTGTAAGTCCATAAACTTACCGCTGTACCATCGGGAAACTGGTATCATTTGAGCTAATGCAGTCCTCAGCTGGTCCCGTTTCGTAAAATACCAGTGAAATAGTTACAAAAAAAGTTGTGTTAAGTAATTAGCCGACTTTGTGTATCTAATAAAGTATCAACGTTTTTATGTAGTTTAGATCTGTTTTACATATAAATGGTGATGTTTCCTCTTTGATATTAATACATATATTTTTTATTTCCACGCCGCTTATACTCAGTAACCCAGAAATATTTTAATTAATGCACAATCATTGGTGTCATTAAAATATATATAAAATCCATTGAAAATTTTAATATGATGTGTTTTCATCCAGTGGCAGTACTTGTAAATTATTTGAGTATATGAACATCATATGCATTTGATACGTTATGAATAATGAAACATTTTTTTTTTAACTAGGGAGAACCTGGCATTGCTGGGCCTCACGGACCACCTGGACCTCCAGGACAACAGGTTTGTTATTCTTATCATCCTTTCACTCATGTATATACATTGAAGCTACAATAAAATTCATAATCCTTTTGTAAACTGGCTAACTATAAGCTTGATCTTTAATACGTGTTTGACAGAGTAAATTATTTTAAATTATAATTTTTCACTGAGAATAAATAATATTTTTAAATGTGAAGCGTAATCACTGCTGCTAGTCCTCGATAGCATCCAAAGAATGGACTCTGTTAACCGTGTTATGCATACAATTTAAAATGTACACAATTTATGTAAATAATAAAGATTATATGCGAATAAATAATTGAAACTCGCATTTTCTGTAAAAATATTTCATGCTATCGGACATGTAAAAATTGAAAACGAAGCTGTTCTTTGTTTTTAAAGAAACAAATCGCTCATTATAATTACATCTAAAATACATTCAAATTAAATATTCCTAGATGAGGACAGTTTAGTAACAGTTTATGTACAAAATAAATTGTAAGCTACTTAAAACATTATAGTTTCTATGATTTATTAATAGAGTTAAAAGTGAAGTGTTAGTATATAGTGATTGGATAATTGTTAGCGCCGTTTACAACCTTTTATAAATCCTTTTAATAATAGGGCATAAAACTAATATTGAAATACACATTTCCTTAGGAAATAAAAATCTCGTTTTAAATGAACTTAATAATTAATAAATAAAAAATGAAAATAAGATTTTACACTTTGTTTTACGTTGCATCATATCTAATATTTGTTTAATTTATTTTTTGTCTTCCTAATTAAAGACAACAATATAATGTATACCAAAGTATTCTAAATCAGTGTACATTTAGCCCAACGTTTACTATGTTGACCAAAATAGTCATCATCGGCTGAAATTTATTGGTATCTTTGTGATCACAGGGGTTTCCAGGACCCCCAGGATCGCCGGGAGCAGAGGGTGAGAGGGTATGTTCTAGTTACTAGTGTTTCGACTTTACATTTAATTATAATTAGGAAAGAAGATATTGAAAGCCCTAGTTTCGAGATATTATTTTTAATGTCCTCTCAACGATTATCGTAATTCTTGCGTGAGGTGAAAGAAAATTGCAACTTTTCATGAAGTTAAACATCATAAACGATAGGACACTGGCTCTTTTCACATCTAAACATGGTGGACAATTAATTAATAGTATCAAACCAATACCAAAATAATTTTATTTTTACGCTACTACTAAAACTTTATTACATCACCGGATGGAAGTTCAGCAATAGGATTTCCAGTCACATCAACCAAAATTATTCATTTAAGAACCAAAACAATCATCTAACGCATTACGAAGGAAAAAACATCCATTATATTGAAGTAAAATCCTAATTTGAATAAAAAGTAGTACCAGTAACTTTTATATATAATAGTATACATATATATGTATATTGGTATGTGCTAAAAGTTTCTGTTAGTTCTTAAAAATTACAAGTCGTTAGTTTCGGAAATTATACAAAAAAGGGATATATTCTATATCAATGTCTAGTAATCAAAATTATAACGTTTAACTTTTACCTTATTAAAATTGTTAAACCAGATATATTTCACACTGTTTAGTTCATAAAAGTCTAAACTGTTTTAAAAGGCAATTTTATTTAAATAAGTTTCAGTATTTTCAAACTTTAAACCTTAATTTCAGGTTTCTGTCTAGAGAACATTTGATACCTTACAACAGATATTGTTTAACTTCGGTTGCTAAGGCTTTTTTAAAATAAAACTCTGAAGCATTCATAAGCAACGACATGAAAGTTACCCTACAAAGCATAACGCAGGCCTAATATTAGTTAAGCCTAATTAATTAATTGATTAAGCCTCATTTATTCTGTCTTTGTTTTGGAATATTCCTCAAAAGTTTCTCCATTATATTAACATTCATTATTACGAATTAAAATATGCTCGTTCAACAAGTAGCTTTAGCAAAGATAAAATTATCGCTATAATGGGTTTATATTTTAACTTTATGATTTTGTTGTTCGTTTATGCAGCATACCAGAATTTTCTAAACTATATAAATAATGCTAATAACGTATTTTACTTTACAGAAAAAAATTCTATCCTTAGTGACTAAAATTATATTTAATGGCAATAAATATTTTACAACTTCGTTATCAATAAATTTATTTCACAAACTTTTTCTTTTAAACTTTTGTTTTTTATACACTGGCAACAATATTAGTTGATTTACATTTCGAATTAATCTACCCCATTTTATATAACTTTTCAGTTACATTTTTCTCATCTAGTCTAAAAAAAAGACAATAACAAAACTAAATAATAATGTGATAAATAAGATGCTTGCCAAGTTATTTACAAATATTTTCAAATTTTCCAAATACTATAGGGTCCAAAAGGTTCCAAAGGTGATTCTGGACCTAGGGGTGCAGATGGACTTCGGGTAACAAGCATTTCTTGGCTCTTTTTTTCTATTTTTCATGTAACATCTTTGATCTTATTTGCACGATATGGTTAGTCTGGATTTAGATATATTGTTTTAGATTACTAGTTTTAAGCTACGCAATAAATACTTTACTACTTAAAATGTACATAAACAGTTGGTCAGTTTATCAGTGTTTGGGGAAACATCAGCCCACTTCCTAATAGAGTGCAGAAGTTTCAGAGTTCCACGAAACTCAAGAAAAAAGCTATCTACGAAACTTAGGAACGTTTTTATATACACAAAGATATTAGAGCTTACTGGTTTTATAGATTGTGATTAGTTATAAATATATTAGTGTGAACCCCAGGCAAAATTCTTAATAAGTTCATCGAATAATATAGTAACACACCAAAACAGTAAAAAAAATTACAAAAAGTATGTATTTTCAATTACTTCATGTGCTGTTCAATTGATGGTGTTATATAGTTATGAAATTATCAAAAGTTCGTTGTTTTTCAAGTATTCCCAAAGAGCTTAAACTTGTAGTTGACGTAACTATTTGGAACGTTTCGTTATTTTTCTGAGAGTTTATGCTTGAGTTTCTTGTGTATTTTCATCAATTAATGATATTTAAATTTGTATTAATTTTGAAAAATATCATGGAATAAATCTAAACATTCACGTTACTTAAAATACATGTTTTTATTTTTTTAAACATGCGTTTTACGTTCAAGTTTTGTATAATATTTCAACGGTATACTAACACATATTACTTACTGTGAACAAGCACCTGTGCGCATGCTGGTATATAGAAAGTACTGATATTTCCTGTTTTGTTTTTTTATTAAAACAGGGTGAGCCTGGATATCCTGGGAAAATAGGACCAATAGGTAAACCAGGACCAAAGGTAAGCACCGAATAAATTAAGCCAAGCTTATTATCTATACAAATAACATTTGAGAACTTCAGATATAGATGTAGTGCATGCAGTTAGTGGAAAACCACTGAATAATGGCTTTCTGACTGTTTTAAACCATTTCAGCCTAGTGTTGTTAATCGACTCTTGTAACTTGTCTATAGTGCCCATCATGAAACTATAGAGCAAACAAAGCAGGGTATTTTTTCTTCACTTCCATTATCATTTCCAAACTCAAAATATCAACATAATTACCCCTCGTACCTCTCAGTTAAGAAACATCTAAGTGGGTTATACTAATAATCAATATTAATAAGAAGGAAATAGCTTTTCTTTGTTTATTTGTTTCTGCGCAAAGCTAGGCAAAATGCTGTCTGCTCAGAGCCTTCTTCCTAATTTTGAACTAAGACTAATGGGAAGGCAGCAGGTCAACAGCACCCACCGGCAGCTCTTGGGCTAGTCTTGCTTGCCCGAATAATTTTAGTGTCACTTTTGTATCGCATCGATGTGAAGTGATATTTTACGGCAATGGATTCAAAAACCGAGCGCATTAACCATTAACTCACGCTTAGCTATTAGAGCCTTACAATAATTTATAAATTAATTAACAAAACTGGGTATTAGAGTAAATTTATAGATCTATCGATTTTTTTTATTTTTAAGATACTTCAGTTGCATGTGTTTATCATTATATTTCTGTTAAATAGTGGCTGAGTAATTACTTCAATTAAAAACCGTGTGATATTCAACCGTTTTTAATATATTTAGTTTAGTGGTTTTTATGATCACAACATATTTATGATTACAATATAAGTTCACAAATCAGCTTCTGCTAGCATCTAACTTGTAACTGCTATTAGTAATTCTTTAACTAAAACTTGGCATCCAGTTTATGCAAACATGGTGTCAATGTGTTAGATTTTTGGTGTCCAGAGGTCGTCTTGACATCGCCCCTAGCTATCCAAATGAATAACTTGAGATCATTTTCCACTGCGCATGTTTAATTGATTGTTTTTAAACAACTTTATACATGATGGCCCAAAAGAAACCTAGTTTTTGTTATTTATATTGTCAGACAGTATCTGAATACATGCACCGAGATAGTTTCTCAAATATTGAACTATTTAACTGACTTGTAACAAACTGGCAGAAAAACAACAACAACAACAAAACTATATTCATAATCTAAATGACGTCTTATTTGATATTTTCTCAGGGTGATCAGGGGGATCCTGGAACAACTGGACAGAGAGGGCCAAGAGGCTTAATAGGAACAGTGGTAAGTTGTAGATGGAACTGAAATATCCTTTTTATATACTACGCAACGCTTTATGGTTTTGCATTTTACCACATAAATATCATTCTGTATTTGTATTTTCGTAGTTATGGCAAAGCTACTGAGGCTGCCATCCATAATTTTGAACTGACCAGGCAATAGCACCTAAGGGACTGACTGTCTCTCTTATCACACATACTCATCTTAAAGTGTGGGTAATATTTTGTGGCTTCGCACGGATTGGAACCAGGCTTGACAGCTCTGTCACTAACTTACGCCTACATTTCAAAAAAGTTTACCTGATTTCAACTATCTACGATCATTGCTGAATTTATAATAAATTAGAAACATCACTTCATACGGGATTACTGTGAGAAACATATATATATAATAGCATTGCAACTATACTTTGTCTGCTATAGGCTCCTGTTTTAAAAACCTTTTGCAAATCATTGGATCTCATTCTACGAAGTTCTAGTTGAAACGCTATTCTTATCAGTAATATGGCTAATTTTGAATGAAAGGCCTCACCCAAAGGAAATAAAAATACAAGAGTTATTCGAAATGCTTTTATTCTCTGTTATTGGTGTAAATGCCTTTTCGGACTAACCAATAACGGTTTGGCCTGGTTTGTTCTGAATTTCGCGCAAAGTTACACGAGGGCTATATGCGATAGCTGTTCCTAATTTATTAGTGAAAGACTAGAGGGAAGGCAGCTAGTCATGACCACCCTCCGCCAACTCTTTTACCAATTAATAGTGGGATTGACTGAACATTATAAGGCCCCCAGGGCTGAAAGGGCGAGCATGTTTGGTGGGGCGGGGATTCGAACCCTCAGATTGCGAGCCAAGTGCCCTAACCACCTGAAATGGAAATGTACATATGTATTCGAACTTAACTTAAGAACACAAATACACATGTATATTCAAACCTAACTAATAAAAAGGAACAAAATGCACATGTGTATTCAAACCTATCCAATAAGAAAGAACGGAAATGTACATGTGTATTCAAACTTAACCAATAAAAAAGAACGGAAATGCACATGTGTATTCAAACCTAAGAATCAAAAAGGATCGGAAATGCAAATAACTAGGTTTTGTAGAATTGACATGGTGATAACAAGAACGATTTTTTAAATGCGCCACATAACTTCTAAATCATCTTTATCAGAAATCTACTAAAGGCCATGAAAAGAACATAAAACTTCAGAATTTAATATCTTTGTAGTGTAGCAAGTTTTACTTATATTAATCACTGCAAATTTTAACGTTATTTCTTGACTTCAGTGCAGAAAGAAGTTCAAGAACTACACAGTCTGCCTAACTCAGTAAGAGCTAATGTTATTATAACTTTCCCATATTGGTTTTGTAAATGCTCTTGTGACAGTTTTCTACTTGATGGTTTTAACGTTTGTGACAGTAAAATTATTTTGTTTCCCATTTTCGACATTAAATTAATTTACGAAAGAAAGTTACAACTTTACTTTTGTTACGTATGAATTTATGTGAAAATAACGTTCACTATATTTTAATCAATTCTGATTCTAACGATAGTTATTCTGCAAACTTCGAGTAAACTTGCACTTGTTCGTAAGTTTTAATTAGACCTGTAGAATTCTATTAACCAAATCCATATTTCTGTTTTATATTGAGATAACATTTTTCTATGTGGAAACAGTATTCATGATCCGAAATGCTTTGTTTCTCTAGGGTCCTACAGGGCCGATCGGACCCCAAGGACCGTCTGGTCTTCCTGGAATAAACGGTCAACCTGGTGAACGGGTAGGATGGATTGTTTCATGGGAGAACTTTGAAAATTAATATCCAAAAATATGACTAGAATAAACAGGGGTGTTATTGGGACTGTTTTGTGTTAAATCGCTTGATTTAAAGTGTAGAAGTTAGATAAAAAAGTGGTAATAGTAGTGAAAAATAATCTGTGGACAGAGATGTAGGGTCGCATGACCTGAGGAATTTCTTTTTATTACTGTCTATCCTCTGCGCCACTGACGTGCGGGATTGTTGGCCATCACATACAAGTTCACATACTTAGAATAAATTACTGTAATCACAACGTAATAGTCGTTGTGATCAAAGGTTAACATATACTTCACATATACTTCTTTCTCTCAAAAACTTTAACACACTTTTGAAATTTTGCTTTTTAACTTGGATAAACTAATTCAGATTTCTTTAAACAGTTGCAAAGAAAATCAACTTTTAAAGTTTTTCCTTATGGCTTGAAGTCCATACAATTAACAGCTTGCACAGACATCAACTGATTACAGATCTCAGTAGACTACATCCAAATTTCTAATAAACATTTAAATAATTCTTAAGAATGTTCAAGAATAATTCAAGTAAAAAAAACAAAAAAACATTAATTCTTTTAAAGCAACATTTGTAAACTAGAAGAGCTTTCGGGTGGTCCAAGATATTAAAAGTACAGAGTTAGGAATGAAAGCAATCTCAACATACAGTATTTTATAGATGCAGAGCAGAAAGAATCAGGCATATTTCTGGTGAAAAACTAGCAAAAAAACTAGGCTTAGAATGTAGTTCTCAAATTACTTTGGCATTGTTCACTCCGTTGCTCTCATGATTGAAATACCACAAAGTTTTAATGTAACATCATAAACATTTTTCTTATTTGAAGTTCAATGATTTTACTAAAATATTTACGTTAATCAAATTAAGCTTTCTTTTGATAAACAAACAAATGATAGTTCGTTCTTTTATGTAGGGTCAACCAGGGCCACCAGGACCTCCAGGACCAAAGGTAAAATTACTTTATAGACTGCAAAACTGGCTTGGGATGTTAAATTTTTAAACTGTACGAATTTTATGACTTTTAAGTATGCTATAATGAAAAAAAAAAGACCTTTGGAGCAAATATCTTGTAACAATTTTATTTTCTCAAACTTTACAAATGTTTTAAATGTAATCCAAAATCATGAATCTAGATTCTTATTTATACAACGATTTATTGAACTGAAAATGAATCCCGGAATCTTCTAAGTTTAAAGACTTAAAACCTTTTAGAAAATAAGAGGGAGAGAATATTTTTCAATTTACAGTACTTTCTTTCTCTGCTGCCTACCTGATAAGCATCTTGGAAATATTCGCGTAAGACGTAAGTCTTTGTTTCAGAATTTCTGCGAAAAGCTACACAAGGGGCTGTCTACTCATAACCGTTTTCCTAAATTTGAAATAACAGCTTGATCGGAAGGAAAATAATAAAAATACCTACCAACAACGATATTCTTGTGTGACCGAATAGTGGGGTCTGACTGTCATTTTTATAGCGCACCTACAACTTCAAAGTGCAGAGTGCGTTTTTGCGATAAAACGCCGCGAATCATGAATCTCCGAATTCATCTGCCCAACATGCGACCCAGCAAACATCTAGACTCTGGAATTTACTATAACAATTACCTAGTGTATGTGTATGTGCGTGAGTTCTTATAGCAAAGCGACATCTGGCTATCTGCTGTGTCTACCGAGGGGAATAGAATCCCTAATTTTAGCATTGTAACTCCGAAGACTTACCGCTGTCCCACCGGGGGACAATATCCTAGTGCCGACCGCGGCTGTGGAAAGAAGAATCAATGCCATATTCAAATGTAATAATATACCTTTCTGTTGCTTTTAGATTGTTGACACTTCAATTTCAATTTCTCTTATCTTATTCTCTCTTACGTTTCTTCTTTCCTTCCTTTTGTTGTTGTTGTTGTTTTGTCTTCAAATTCAAATTTTACGTCTATATTTTCGTATTTCTTTTCTTTTTTTTCGCCACTCATAAATATTGCCGCCTGGGCAAATATCTACTTTGCCTACTTGCTAAGTCTGGCTAAAAATTCAAGAGATGAGTTTTCCTTTACCGCTAACCAGGGTAATCTTAACGTAACAGCATCATCTTGGTGGATGTCTTTTCGATGCACGTATGAACGATGTATTTGGATTAGTGATAACTGAGTGTAATATAATAGCATCACCTTAGCGGATGTATTTGACGCTTGTAACTGCTAATATTTAAAATTTTGTTCAGGGAGATAGCGGAGCAGCAGCTATTGAACTAGAAGGGTATGGAGGTATTCGTGGACCGAAGGTAATCACATTTTTAATTACATTTGTGTTAGCAATAAGTATTGATAAATACAGGTATTAGAAGTGTCGTTAAATGTAAAAATAATAAAAGAAATATATTCATTTTCCCAAGAGAGCACAATAAATACAGGTATTAGAAGTGTCATTAAATGTAAAAATAATAAAAGAAATATATTCATTTTCCCAAGAGAGCACAATAAATACAGGTATTAGAAGTGTCATTAAATGTAAAAATAATAAAAGAAATATATTCATTTACCCAAGAGAGCACAATAAATTCAGGTTTTTACACATCTGAATATGAAAATAATGTTTCTTCGTTTCAAATACCGAATTCATTAACAACGGTTTTTTTATATTTTAGATTGAGTTTGTCTTTGCATCTGTTTTGTGCGTCGTTTTAAAAACCATTTTTTTTAGATTTAATACTAAATATCTTTATATTAAATAGATGTTCATTAAGTTCGTTACATATAACTCTCCTATTTGCGTAGGTATATGTATTGTTCTAAAGTGATTGTTTTAGCATTTTGTGGGTTCTCCATAACTCAAAGCTCTTATTAGAAGAATGGTATTCTCGACACCGGTGAATAGAGTAAAAAACAAACAAAGAAAGAATAACCTAAACTTCGCCATATTTTCTTTATCTTTCAACTGATAATGAATTTTGCAACTAATGTATCCAATCCAACTGGTTCCCAATATTCATAATTATAAATAACAGGTTTGAAGGCCAGAATTGTGCAGCGTATATTGAAATGTTCAAAAAGTAACATATTTTAAAGATGGAGATACCGTTACAAAAAGTAGGTATTGTATGAAAGTCAAGTAAGTCTGATGGGTACCTTAGTAGACACGCGCCATTATGAGTACCTACAATATTATTATTGGTTACTGTTTTTTAGCTACACAATGGGGTACCGGCGCTCTGTCTACCGCGGGGGAATCGAATCCCAGATTTTCCTAAAAACTAGTGTACCGTTAAGCTAATATTTCAAAAATGCTTGTCATTATAACAAGCGAAAAATAAAAATAAAACGTTCTACAGAAGTAATTAGTGTTGTCAAAATATCCATATTAC